CAATAAAAATAAATGTATATTTTATATAATATATTGTACATATTAATACAAATTTTTAACATAATAAATATATATTTATATTACTTTAAATTAATAAAATATCAAATGACAAAATAATATAAACAACTTATATTATTCATAATATTAATGAATTTATAATAAATTTTATTTATTATATTAAATGCTACTTACAGGATATACAGGTGAATCTTCTCTGGAGCAAGATGCATCTTCTCCATTTTGAATATTTGAATATGATGTAGAATTCAACATAGTTTCTTCTCTAGCACGCTTTCTAGACATTTTTTACTGCTTCAATATTAGGTCCATAAAAAACCTATTAAACAAAATATTTAAATTATTATTATTTATATTATTATAAATAATTAAATTGTTTGTATAATGTCTTATCATTAAAAATAATACAAAATGTATAAAATATATAATAAAAATAAAATATAAAATATAAAATATAAAATAAAAATTATATATATATAATCTTTTATTTGAATTACATATAATGAATTAATTTTAGAAAATAAATTTTACAATTATATAGAATATAAATTTTAAATTTATATTATTAAAATTATAAATTTATATTTATATTTGTTTCATAAAAAATAAAAAATAAAATAAAATTCGTAAATATTTTTAATAATACTTAAATTAAGATATTAAAAGCTATTAAATACTAAATACTATTTTAATTATACATATATTTACATATAATATTCATTTATAATCTACACAAGAAATTGATGAACGTTTACCTGATTTTCACAAGTTATCTTAAAATTATTGATCAATGTCATTATTATAATTTTAGGATTACGAATCATTATGATTATAAAATATTCATAAATAATCGTATAATCTCCAGGAGACAATTAGAGATGTGCCGAATTATTTGTGAACCAGTCATGTTTGGTGTTATTACATATTATCATTCAATAAAATTTTTAAAGTATACATTTATTCCTTGTAAAACAATAGCATGTTGTTAAAATATGTTTTATAGTTAAAAAAAGAAGAATACAGAAAACATCATATAATCAGATATCATCAGATATAATCAATCAAAGATATAATATTTAAAATTTAATAATAATGTATAATCTCAAGTAACTTGTTCACTCGGCTTTTTAAAATTATTTTTACATATATTTTTTAACTTTATATATACTTTCTTTTTAAACTTTTATAAATTCCAATTGAACTAAACGAACCTTTTCACGCCCTAATTTCTGTATACACGACGATTGACTATAAAGATAAGTAATAGGATATGACGAAAAATCGGAGTTCCGCTAGAAGTTTATTGAACTCATTATTTGATTTATCAGATTTTTAGAAAAATTTAAAAAATAAATTCTTGAAAATTTTTAAAGAAATTTCACATTTTATGTTATTTTAAAATACTATTTCACGACTAAGATATCACACAACTGTTATAACACTTGTGGATACTACGTATTACACATTTTCAGTATATTATCAGGGACGAAATAATAGCACTATGAACCACGAGACAAATGAAAAAGTGTATATGCATGAGTCCTATGTTAGGAGAGTATGAGAATTACAAATGAGGGCAAGAAGCCATATAAATATCTTTATTTAAATCTAGTGCGGTTTCAATAATTATCAAAAATAAAAACATTAAAATATCATACTCTAGATTATTCTTTCTAGAAATTCTTTCCTTTCTTATTTTTATTGTGAATGTAACAATTTATAAATGCCAAATATTCTAAAATCTATTTAGATTATTCAAATTAATTATATATATTAGATAATAGTATTTATAAGAAAAAAGAAGGAAAAAAAATGAATTAGTTCCAATTATTCTTCAAATAATTTATTTTATTAAATATTATGCAATATTGAAAATAAATTATAATTTATAAATATAGTTATTTGATTTTTATTAAACAATTAAAATTTGTTAAACATAAAATAATATTTATTAATATAAAAATATAATCTTTTTATGTTTAAAGTGTGATTTAAAAAGAATAAGTAAAATAATGTACTTTTTGATTTTAAAAGAACATACTTTTTTAAGACAATAGTTACACCGGATTGTTACACTTTTAACTGTTGAAGAAACTAAACTAATAATAAGAAGTTGATCAATTAAAAATAAATTTCACATAACAGATATGTTACTTGTAATGCATAAAATATGTGCACCAAACATTTTTTATGAGTGTTAATTAAAGAAAGGAGGGGGAATGATGACGTAATATCGGATGATCATAATATTATATACTTATCGCATGGCCACAAATGTACATATACTTTCAAAATATATATATATATACATACATATATATATATTTATGTGTGTATTTTATGTAAAATTAATTATTAAAATTATTTTATATGAATATAGAAACAATATTATTATACATATAATTATATTATAAAAATATCAAATTATTAATATTTTTTAGATTAAAAATAATGAATAATTTTGTCATTATTGAAATATATTATAAGTTTGAATAATAATGATAATTAATAATAAATATTTTATATTGTTATATAAAATAAATATAATAATATAAATATAATAAATAAATATAATTTGATCATATAATAATATAAATAATATAAATTAAAATAACGAAAATTTATATATTTTGAACATATTTTTTTTTATTTCAGTTGTTTATTGTACATTCATCTTTTTATTTTAATAAAATGTTCATTTATATAGTAATAGTAATGATAGTTTTAATTTTCTTAAATACAAATTTTTTACAAGGGAAATTAAATTTTTTGTTATCATTTTGACATAATTTTATTATTACATATGATATAATTAAAGGATAGAGATTTTTATTTAAGAAATTATTTTTTTTTTATGTCATTTTTATAATTGTATAAAATAAATTTTTTTAGCATAATTTAATGTATCATTTTTATGTTATAAATTTTTTGTTTAGCCATACATAATTACATATGTGTAATTTATCTGATAACATCTATAATAGATTTAATATGTACTTATATATGTAATAACAAACAAAATATTTCAATCTAAAAAAATTTTATTCTCTTAAATGTTAATTGAATTAATGACTGAAATATGGCATAACTAATTTATTAAAAACAAAACATAATTAACGAACGAATTATTTAGAATAGATTAAAATATCATTAAAGTAAATATTTAATATGAATTACGGAAGATTTTTGACGCAATATTTGATAAACTCGTAAGAGAAAATTGCTCAATACTCGCATTTTGTATATTTTTTACAGTAATTCATCGAACGCATATTTAACATTTATGTTTCGATTGATATACAATTGTTAAATACTATATAACAAAATGTTTCGCATAAAAAAGACATGCAGCATATATTTTTAATTATTTTTAGTGTATACATAAACAAAAACTTAACTACTCAACTAAATAAAAACCTCTAAATGAAAATATACTGTCATTACTTTTATTTCTATATATATTATGATATATTCAAATTTAAATTTAAGTATTTATATAATTGATCGTAATTTCATAAGTTTATATAATAAATTATATATATGATTAAATATATATCAATAAGTAATAATTTAAATATATTTTTTTTTATAAACGAAAATTAAATGTAATATAACGATAATTACGATTCTTTCTTACATTGTAAAAATTTCATTTATATTACGAATAAAATATATAATTTTAAAGGTAAAGCAAAACAATCAATTAAAAAGCTGAGATTTATTTTAATTAATAATAACTTTAAAATAATCTCTATATAATTATAAGAATTATAATTTTACTTTTTTCATATTGATTTTGTTTTCACAAATCTTTTTGTCACAATACATCGCACGAACAGTCCTTCAATAATTCTTAATTGAAATGTATACAATCGCACATTGCTTGTATCTATTTCACAAGATCTTAGTCTTCATGAAATAATTAATGAGGCAGTGCCTACTAATTATCAATAATTACATTTATGTAATTCAACTTTACGTACTTAGTTTTAATATTTATATACTTTGATATATACATACAAATAAATGTCCGACCATTAGTTATATTCTTTTGTGTCGTAACAAAAAAAAATTTTTTGAGGATTTTGTTGTAACTAGTAGCAGATTTTACTTCTGAAATATTTTCCATTGCAAATTCGCCTGCAATGGTAAATATCATGATAATTATTGTGTACAAATAAATAGCAACAAGAACAAGAAATTGTAATGTTACTCCATTCAGTCATTTTTTTTACGCCACTGTCCTTAATTCACATTGTCATTACACAATAACCGGAAGAAACGTAATGCCCAGCATTTTTTCAACTTATTTCAGTAATATATCTTCGTTTCATTGTTATACTTTATTTTACGCAATAACAAATTGCAAAATTACAGCTAAATAAGCGTAATAAATCAATGTAAATTAGCTGTAAAATTACACAATTAAGTATACTTTATATCAAACTGAAAATGTATACTTTTTGTTCTAATGTAATCCAATGTGTTGAATTAGAATTAACAAATAATTTAATATATCAAAATATAAAATGTTTTACATATTGCAGTTCATTACGTTTCATTTAAAAGGCATTCGTATACAGTTTCGTCTAACTTCAACGCTGTAATATTATCGATATTATTAAATAACATTTACTGTACCTAAATTTAATAATAAAAATACCTAAATCACAATATATTATGCCATCATTTATGATAGCAATGAGTTGGTGTTTTTCCAGTCTATTTTTCGCAGTTTTGTTCTGCCAAAAAAGTAGTATCAGAAGGCGGATAATTGGGACAAAGAGATCGCAATGACAAAAATGTAATATTATTCTATGAACATTCTTAATATTCTAAACTCCAAAACTGGAGTTAGTGTTTACAAATACTATGCAATTTACAAAGCATTAAAAAAGAAAAAAGTGAGAAAGAAAAAAATAGACACTAAGCATCGTTCGGCTCGCAATGGCGGGAAATGTGTCTTGTTTTAATTTTATGTTAAAAATAAATTCATGAATGTAATATTATTTTATTGTATTATCATTATAAGTTAAGCAAAAATAATGAATTATAAAAATTTCGTCAGTGCGAACTCACTTATATAATTTAATAAATTTTATATTGCTAAATTTATGTTTAACATATCACACTTCATCAAGTAATGACAAGTACAAGTTTTATGGTATGTAATTCGCAACAATTCCAAATAGTAAAAAATGGGATGACTATTGTATCTACTAATGAAATACAATCAACAAATATATGAATTATATCAAATAGTTACATACAATTATTTCTCTTCATAATTAGGCTGGCGCAATTGTTCCATAGCTACCTAAAATCTGTGATTTCTCCACAAGCTTTATTAAAGCAAATGTGTGTGTGTATGTTTTTTTCTTTTATATTAAAATATTAAAGATCGAGGGTAAAAGCAAATGGCTAATTAGTAGGCTGTGCACGAAGTGCCTCATGCAGTGCCTGTTGTTGATCTGCTGTTAATGCATTTATGCATGCCTGGAACATAGACTCGTTGTTCTAAAACAGAGAATAGATTATTTTTTTAAAACATAAATATGCAATAGAATAAAAATATACTTTATATAATATACATTGTTTACTTATACCTGTATTTGTCTAACAATGCTAAGAATTCTACCCATGACAGGATTATCTGTTGGTACGGCATCTTTGTAAAATGCTTCTGCAAAAAAACTTATTAACCGAGGTAGATTCGAATTATTTGGTCCTAAAACTGCTACGTGATTTGCTTCAATTAAATCACATAAATATCCATAAACATAAGGTGCTTCATCTTCATCTTCTACCACTGGTAGCCAAGAGAGCCTGGATAAATAAATTTTTTACTAATTTTTTTACAATTAATATAATATATGGTTCTTTTGCTAAAAGACCCAAAGAGATATCATCCATCACATACTCCCATTTTTCTTTTATATATACATCCATAATTGTTTCAAAATCAATTTTTATATATTGAAAAATAATCGCTGAATTATATATATTTTTCGATATTAGATATTATTTATATTATTTTTGAGTCCTCTAACAAAAAAAATCATTTTGTATTATATATCAAAATTAAAAAATATCAACTTACCAATGAGGAAGTATTTCATCGACATTAATTGCTTTATTATTATATTTAAGAATTTTTGTTACTGCAGAAATAGCATTTTCTGTAGGATTGACATTTTCAGGTGATCTAGATTCTGGATCATTTATAACTTCCATTAATCTAGGTAAAGCTTCTGCGCATGCTTGAGCAAATGCTTCTCCTCCGTATTGTCCTAAAACCCCACAACCATAAGCTGCTGCTTGTCTTACTTCTGCTGATTTATCTGATACATATTGTATCATTGGTCGTAAAAAATATTCTTGATATTTTGCACATTCAGGTCCGCCAAATTCTATTACATCGTCAAAAACACATAAAGCCCATTGATGATCTGACCAAGATCTTTCAGGACTTAATAATTTAACAAAATGTCCACAAATTTGATCGAAATAAGGGAAAAAT